GATGACCAGAGACTGCGGACACAGTACAGGAGATGACCAGAGACTGCGGACACAGTACAGGAGATGACCAGAGACTGCGGACACAGTACAGGAGATGACCAGAGACTGCGGACACAGTACAGGAGATGACCAGAGACTGCGGACACAGTACAGGGATGACCTGAGACTGCGGACACAGTACAGGAGATGACCAGAGACTGCGGACACAGTACAGGAGATGACCAGACTGCGGACAGACTGCGGACAGTACAGGAGATGACCAGAGACTGCGGACACAGTACAGGGGATGACCAGAGACTGCGGACACAGTACAGGAGATGACCAGAGACTGCGGACACAGTACAGGAGATGACCAGAGACTGCGGACACAGTACAGGGATGACCAGAGACTGCGGACACAGTACAGGAGATGACCAGAGACTGCGGACACAGTACAGGGATGACCAGAGACTGCGGACAGTACAGGGATGACCTGAGACTGCGGACACAGTACAGGAGATGACCAGAGACTGCATGGGACAGTATCGGGGCAGCTGGACAGGAGGAGCGCAGAGGGGTAGATGGACAGGAGGAGCGCAGTGGGACAGGTGAGGGGCAGATGGACAGGAGGAGCGCAGTGGGGACAGGTGAGGGGCCGATGGACAGGAGGAGCGCAGTGGGACAGGTGAGGGGCCGATGGACAGGAGGAGCGCAGAGGGGACAGGTGGGGGGCAGTGTATCAGGGGACAGTGAGGAGAGTGGAGAAGCACCAGTCCTCCAAGCACTTACCTGTCCAGCAGTGGCTCCTCCAGATGGTGTCAGGATCATTCCAGGATGGGTGCCTGTGTCTCCCCCTTCGATCTCCGGCGGTGGCTGCAAAGGAGCGGGTCGGCTCCGCCCCATGACCTCATCCTCTTCTGCTTCCTCCTTCTGGCCTTCACCTGGATACCGGAACACTGACAGTGGGCCCCGCCCCTCACGCACTCTGAGCGCACTCTGGGGATCCGCCCACCACTCTCCTCTGCAGCCGGTCCCCTCAGCCATGGCGGCCCTGCCCCTGTATCTTTCCCACGGTAGTATCCCTTCCATGGGAAAAGGGGAGGGGGGCGGCAAATATGCCCCTGGTCCCTTGCCTCGCGGCAGGTACGCCCCTGCCCGGCAGGCCGGATAAGTGTCCTTGGCAAGCCGTATGTGGCCCGCGGGCCGTAGTTTGAGGACCCCTGATCTAGAACATAGACTTCTGGAGACAATCTGTGATGTTTATAATGTTATCTCTCTTTATTAATGCTCATAGTTTACAGATTATATTTTTCCATTCTTCTCTTGGTTTAGGGTGAAGATCTGATAGATGTAAAAAATGAGGTGAAATCAGAAGAAGAAGAGGCGTATGTGAGGGATGATCAGCAGTCTATGGAGGAGGATGGAATAACAGGGACATTTATAGAGGAGGACACTCCTACAGAGATCAGCACAGGTGGGTCATGAACACTAAATCCATTCCTCCACCCATACTGCTCACTGATTGGTCCAGAGTAGGGCGGGGACTGGGTGATATCAGCCTGTAATCCCCTGGTCACTTTCCTGAGCTGTGTTCCCCGTCCTGTATTCCTGGATTTCTCTCGGATAATCTTCCTTCTCTGTGCTGCAGACACAATTTATGTATCTAGACTGGATTTATGGAGGTTCTGGGGTTCAACCGGCAGCAAAATGTGGATTTTCACCATAGACATTGCTTAACCTAGGGACCTGGGGCATGTGCCCTTGGGTCTTGTGCCCCATGTTTGGGTGTAGAAAGATCTCTGACAGAGCAATTCTCCCAGGGTTCCTTGCTCTGTAGTCTGCTGGCTGTGCCGGGTGGAGGGATATGTCTGTACAGTCTCAGACCCAAGTCACTGAGTGCAGTCTCAGGAGATGGGAGGCAGCGGTGTGGGATCTCTGCAACTTGTCTACAGTAGACCTTCAAGCTTCCACTTAACACTGAACACCAATATTATGAGTCCTGACCCTTACTCTGTATAATTTATATTGTACATTACATACTCCTGACCCCTGCACTATATACTGTATGCTGTACATTACATACTCCTGACCCCTGCACTATATACTCTATGTTGTACATTACATACTCCTGACCCCTGCACTATATACTCTATGTTGTACATTACATACTCCTGACCCCTACACTATATACTCTATGTTATACTTTACATACTCCTGACCCCTGCACTATATACTCTATGTTGTACATTACAAACTCCTGACCCCTGGACCCCTGCACTATATACTCTATGTTGTACATTACATACTCCTGACCCCTGCACTATATACTCTATGTTGTACATTACATACTCCTGACCCCTGCACTATATGCTCTATGTTGTACATTACATACTCCTGACCCCTGCACTATATACTCTATGTTGTACATTACATACTCCTGACCCCTGCACTATATACTCTATGTTTGTACATTACATACTCCTGACCCCCCATTGTCAGGAATGGACTCAGCACTGGTGGTGGGACTCACCAAACCCGTGTGGGCTGCAGTACCAGAGCTGACCAGCGGGTGCTCTCAGCAGCCAGAAGCTCACACGTGTAATCAGCAAACCTGGGGCTGATTGCAGAAAGGTGTATTTAAGGCATGACCAGGCCTGTGATCAGGGCCTTGGTGTATGTTTTCCCATGAGCCTCTGTACCTGGTATCTTGTGTTCCTGCTTCGTTGCTGACCCGGCTTGATCCTGACCTCTGCTGACACATCTCCTGTTGAAACCCTGGCTGGCTTGCCTGACCATCCTTCTGCCTGATCCCCTGTACCACGCTGCCCCGTGAGTTACTGAACCCGGCTTGTGACCCTGACCATTCTCTGCCTGCTCCTTTGGTACCTTGCTGCCCCGCACGTTGCTGACTTGGCCCGTCTGACCACGCTAACTACTCTGCCATCCATCCATCCTGCATGGATCCAGCCGTACCTGCACATACTCTGGCGGATCCCTCTACCACTAGCAGGTGTACTCAGGGGCCGCGACCTGGTTCCTGTCTGCTCCAAGTCCATCCCCACCATCAGGGGCCCTGGTGAATAAGCAGACTGGGACTTAGACTCCGCGCCCCGGGGAATCCTGTCCTGGGGACCACTAGAGGTACCACCAAACGGTCATTACCTGAACCCTACGGCCGGCCTGACCGTTCCACCTCTCCAGCCCTGACTACGCCTGTGTTCCTGCACCTCCTAAGATTAGTGGAAGGTTGGTTTGTTCACTGTGCGTGTTTATATATATATAATCTGGGAGGCTAATAATAAACTGTATTATTATACTATACCTGAAACCTGCGTTTCCCTGTTTCAGTCCACACCTTTCTGGTCATTCCTAGATTGTTGACTACATTACATATACACTACACCCTGCACTATATACTCTATGTTGTACATTACATACTCCTGACCCCTGCACTATATACTCTATGTTGTACATTACATACTCCTGACCGCTGCACTATATACTCTATATTGTACATTACATACTCCTGACCCCTGCACTATATACTCTATGTATGTTGTACATTACATACTCCTGACCCCTGCACTATATACTCTATGTTGTACATTACATACTCCTGACCCCTACACTATATACTCTATATTGTACATTGCATACTCCTGACCCCTGCACTATATACTCTATGTTGTACATTACATACTCCTGACCCCTGCACTATATACACTCTGTTGTACATTACATCCTCCTGACCCCTGCACTATATACTCTATGTTGTACATTACATACTCCTGACCCCTGAACTATATACTCTATTTGTACATTACATACTCCTGACCCCTGCACTATATACTCTATGTTGTACATTACATACTCCTGACCCCTGCACTATATATTCTGTGTTGCATGTTAGATAATTCTGATACTTTGCTAGTCCCCCTACTGTTGAATCTTACACATAATATGTTGTACTTTTCATAGTCCTAAATTTCCTACCAGCTGGACATTTTATATCGGATGATGTGATTGGAGCACAGACTTTTACATGGTGATAATAATGTGATAACATCCTCCAACTTTGGACCCTTAAACAGAAAGTGATAATGAGGGAGGAGTCAATACCCCAATGATGGTGGTCTTCAGGATCAGTCCAGTCTTCATCTTGGTTGTTCTCCCCCCATCCTCACTCTCTGACCTCTGGTGGGGCTCAGCCCCGCTGTTCTTCATGACTAAATCATGGACTAAATAAGGAAGTGCAGTACTTCTTGTGTTGGGAAGATGGCGATGAGTGATAGAGGGGGTGGGGACCCTCGTCCTATAATCCCCTCATCACTGTCCCTCCTATAAAAGACAGTTCTGGTTGTTTCCTCACTCTCTGACTAAGGTCCATGAATAAAGAAATGACCTGGTAGGAGATCAGAGGAGCCATTTCCTAGTTCCCTTGAGGGTGGAATTGTAAGCTCCTCAGAGACCAAGCTGCCTGATGTGGGTGGAGTCCTGGTTTGGGGGAACCAATCAGCTCCTGTCTAGTAATCCTCTTTGTCTTTGTATTTTAGTCCATGGCCGGGAGATGAGGAAAACCTCCGAGGATTGTCTCACTTTGTCTCCAGACTGGAAAGTAGAAGATGAGGACATCACACAGTATAGTCCAGGAGAAAACCCGGCTCCCTCCAATGTCCATCCGGCACCACCCAGTGTAGATGGACCATCGGATTCCTCGTATCCTGAGGAACCTCAGACTGTGCGGGACCGGGCCGGCCTTCCAACAGGGAAGAGCTTCTCCTGTACTGAGTGCGGGAAATGTTTCCATTCTAAATTCATCTTAATGTCCATAAAAGATCTCACACGGGGGAAAAGCCATTTTCTTGTCCTGCTGAGTGGGAAATGTTTTGTCCAAAAATCAGAGCTTGTCACACATCAAAGGTCCCACACGGGGAAAAAAAAACCGTATTCCTGTCCTGAGTGTGCGGAAAATGTTTTTCACAAAAGTCCAATATTTCAAATCCACCAGAGGTTCCACACAGGTGAGAAGCCGTATTCCTGTTCTGATTGCGGAAAATGTTTTTCAGTGAAGTCTCATCTTTTCATACATCAGAAGGTTTCACACGGGGGAAAAGCCCTATTCTTGTACTGTGTGCGGGAAATGTTTTTTTGTACTAAAATCACATCTTGTTACACACATCATCAAAGGCTTCACACAGGGGAAAAACCGTACTCCTGCTCTGAGTGCGGGAAATGTTTTTCAGACAAGTCCTTTTTATTACAGACATCAGAGATCGCACACGGGTGAAAAGCCGTATTCCTGTCCTGAGTGCGGGAAATGTTTTTCGGACATGTCCAGTCTTTACACACATCAGAGATCTCACACGAAGGAGAAGAAGTATTCCTGTCCTGAGTGCGGGAAATGTTTTTTACATAAGTCACATCTTTATACACATCAGAGATCTCACACAGGGGAGAAGCCGTATTCCTGCCCTGATTGCGGGAAATGTTTTTCAGAGAAGTCCAGTCTTGACAGACATCAGAGGGCTCACACGGGGGAAAAGCCGTATTCCTGTCCCGAGTGCGGGAAATGTTTTTCACAGAAGTCCAACCTTTACACACATCAGCGATTGCACACAGGAGAGAAGCCGCATTCCTGTCCTGAGTGCGGGAAATGTTTTTCAGGGAAGTCTAATCTTTACAGACATCAGAGATCTCACACAGGGGAGAAAAACACTCCTGAGTGAGGGAAATGTTCCTCACTGAAGTCCTGTCTTCCTGTACATTAGGGATCCCACACAACCCTGGAGGTGTATTAGTGCCTTGAGTGCGGGAAATGTCTTCTAGTTGAATGTTGCTGGACATCCCAGGTCTCATGTGGGGAAGAAGCACACCCTGATATACACCTCAGATATACTCCATGGCTGATCTTCATCATGGAAGAAACGTTTCATAAGGAGATCAGAGGTCCCCAAAGACGTGGATGAAGGAGGGACCGGGTTGGCCATTGATGGCAGGAGAAGAATAAAAATCATTACTTTTCATTGGCTGAGTACATTTTGTGGTGTAAGCGTTCACAATCACATAAAGGTCTGTTTTTTAAAAAAGATTCCATGTTACAAGCCATTGTGAATGTATTTATTTGATCATTGACTTCAGCTGGGGGCCATAATGTTGCATTGCTCTACTTTTACTGATGGAGACATTTAAAAAAAAAAATACCACATTTTGGCCACTAGATGGGGCTCCCTGTCATAGGAAATCTCTATGTTAAATGAAATGCAGGTTTTTAACTCCGTGCTCCCTGATACGTTCCCGACTGCGCTATAGCCAAAAGACGGCTGCAGCATGGTCGGCTAGTTCTTGCAGGGCGTCCTCCCAGAACCATACCCCTGTGCGCACGCATGATCTGTGGGCACGGCTGATCACATGACTAAGGAATGGGCCAATCACAGCCGCTTTTACCATGTGACCAGCTGTGTCCAATCACAGCTGATAATTGTGTAAATAGGGAATGCCGGTTATCGGCAGTCCTCTCCTCATGCTGGTAGCACGTGAGGAGAGCCAGTAAGTGGCATTTTGCAGGGGGACACTTACACTGATCATCAGAGCACTGATCATTGGTGTCCTGATGATCAGTGTGGCCAATAGTGCCCATGTGTGCTGGCCATCAGTGTCCATCAATTAAATCAATGCCACCCATCAGTGCTGCATAACAGTACCCATCAGTGCTGTCTATCAGTGCAGTCTCATCAGTGCGGCCAATAGTACCCATGTGTGCTGGCAATCAGTGTCCATCAATTGAATCAGTGTCTCCTAAGAGTGCCCATCAGTGCCGCCTATCGGTGCAGTCTCATTAGTGCAGCCAATAGTGCCCATGTGTGCTGGCAATCAATGTCCATCGGTTGAACCAGTGCCCATCAGTGCTCAATAACAGTGCCCATCAGTGCTGCCTATTGGTGCAGTCTCATCAGTGCAGCCATAGTGCCCATGTGTGCTGGCAATCAGTGTCCATCAATTGAATCAGTGCCGCCTAACAGTGCCGCCTATTGGTGTAGTCTCATTAGTGCAACCAATAGTGCCCATGTGTGCTGGCAATCAGTGTCCATCAATTGAATCAGTGCCGCCTAACAGTGCCCATCAGTGCCACCTATCGGTGCAGTCTCATCAGTGCGGCCAATAGTGCCCATGTTTGCTGGCAATTAGTGTCCATCAATTGAATCAGTGCCACGTATCAGTGCCGCCTATTGGTGCAGTCTCATTAGTGCGGCCAATAGTGCCCATGTGTGCTTGCAGTCATCAGTTGAATCAGTGCGGCCTCTTGGTGCCCATCAGTGCTGCCTAACAGTGCCCATGTGTGCTGGCAATCAGTGTCCATCGGTTGAATTAGTGCCGCCTCTCAGTGCTCAATAACAGGGCCCATCAGTGCCGCCTATTGGTACAGCCTCATCAGTACGGCTAATAGTGCCCACGTGTGCCGGCAATCAGTGTCCATTGGTTGAATCAGTGCCCACTAGTGCTGCCTAACAGTGCCCACCAGTGCTCAATAACAGTGCCCATCAGTGCTGTCTATCGGTGCGGCCAATAGTGCCCATGTGTGCTGGCAGTGTCCATCAGTTGAATCAGAGCCGCTTAACAGTGCCCATCAGTGCATCCTCATCAGTGTCACATATCAGTGCTCATCCTTGAAGGAGAAAAATTACTTATTTACAAATCTTTATAACAGAAACTAAGAAAAACAAAATTGTTGGTCTTTTTTTGGTTTGGCAAAAAAAAACCCCAGAGGTGATTAAATACCCCCAAAAGAAAGCTCTATCTGTCTCAAAAAAATGATAAAAACTTAGTTTGGGTACAGTGTTGCATGACCGTGCAATTGTCATTCAAAGTGTGAGAGCGCTGAAAGCTGGTCTGGGCAGGAAGGGGGTAAAAGTGTCCCGGTAGGTGAGGGGTTAAGCCAATTGTTTGTTTGCTTTGAGGATCAAAATGTGAGATGTGGAATCCGTGGTAAAGAACCTGTGGAGGGGCAGCACATATTTGTATTAAGTCACATAAATTGAGGAAGATTGACACCAGAAAGGCAGCAGGACCGGATGCGTGTCAGGTTGCTGGCCTTCACAGAAACTTTAAAGCATGCTGTTAGACGGGTTAGTTCGGTGTGTTTGCAGGCTGGATGGTAAGTTAGCTGGGAATTTTTCTCTTGTATTGTTTGACATGCGTCGCCCTTCTGTGTGCTCCTTGCTGTGAAGGCCAATTATAGACTGGGGTAGTGGCCATTTTTTGTACTCCTATACATGTGTAGTGCACCCCCGTAGAAGCTGCTGGCAAATACAGTCCTATTTCCCCACTTAAAGCAGACACACAGCGTTTTCTTCATTTTTCCATCGGGTCAGAAAGCAGTCTAGGGGTTCTTTTTACGTTTTTTTTTTTGGGGGGGAACAATGTAGTGGGATCCCAAAATAGTACTACAGGCACGCTGTTATGTGCTAACAGCATACAAAAAAACAGAGGAACGTCTGAATTGAGGGTTGTCCTTTTTCTGCTTTGCTTAGAGCCTTTATAAGATGGTCACCCCTGAGAGCCAATCATGTATGAGGAAGAATCTGAAGCTTCGAAATGTGTTACCACCCACATGCATGGACTCACGTTCTGTTCCAACACCGTCTTGCACTCCACACTGGTTTCCAAGGTGGTCGGCCGCTTCCTGAGTCTTAGCTATCACCACCCAGTTGTTCTGCAGCTGCTGGAGACCATCAGACCATCATCCCCGAGAATCAATCAAGTCTGAGGAAGAATCTGAAGCTTCGAAATTTATTACCACCCACATGCATGGAATCACGTTCTCCCACGGACATCATCTCCGGTCCAACACCATCTTGGGCTCCACACTGGTTTCCATGGTGGTCGGCCGCTTCCTGAATCTTAGCTATAACAACCCAGTTGTTCTGCAGCTGCTGGAGACCATCAGACCATCACCCCCAAGAGTCAATCAGGTCTGAGGAAGAATCTGAAGCTTCGAAATGTGTTACCACCCACATGCATGCAATCACGTTCTCCCACGGATGTCATCTCCGGTCCAACACCATCTTGCGCTCCACACTGGTTTCCACGGTGGTTGGCTGCTTTCTTGGTCTTAGCTATCACCACCCAGTTGTTCTGCAGCAGCTGGAGGAGACCATCAGAACCTTATGGGAGTCCAATTTGGATGTGTAGACGTGCCTTTGTAGCCTACAAATCAGTGGGTTGGCTCAGAAAGCGGTCTAGGGGTTCTTATTTAAGATTTTTTGGGAGGCACAATGAAGTGGGATGCCAAAATAGCACATAACCGCGTGCCTGTAGTACTAACAGCATACAAAAAACAGGAACGTCTGAATCGGGGGTTGTCCTTTTTCCACCTTGCTTGGAGCCTTTATAAGATAGTCACCCCCGAGAGCCAATCATGTCTGAGGAAGAATCTGAGCCTTCGAAATGTGTTACCACCCACATCCATGGAATCACATTTTCCCACGGACATCACTTCCGGTCCAACACCATCTTACGCTCCACACTGGTTTACACGGTGGTTGGCCGCTTTCTTGGTCTTAGCTATCACCACCCAATTGTTCTGCAGCTGCTGGAGACCATCAGAACCTTATGCGAGTCCAATTTGGATGTGTAGACGTGCCTTTTTAGGCTACAAATCAGTGATTTGGCTCAGAAAGCAGTCTAGGGGTTTTTTTTTAAGGTGCATATAGAGTGCAGTGATCAGTTAAAACAGCCAAGAAGCCAATAAAGCTAAAGAAAATGTCCATGATGTAGATGAGGGTTACATGTAGTATGAGCAGTGTTGGCCTTCACTCTCTAACCAAGACCTAGTTTGGCCATGTTATATATATAAACAAATGTGTATCCCTTTAAGAAGAGTGACTATAATAAACATAGAATAGTGAATGCAATGCAAAAAAAAAAGTAAGCGCAAAATCCATACACAATCTCAAAATGATACTGTATATGCTGTAATAATGACTTCTTGTGACCACTTATGTTCTCCAGCACCCATTGAATCACCATTAGGGACATTCCTTCACCACCACCACTAAAATTATTGCTCTTACCGAATCCAGAGACCCCATATTGTGGAGGTCACAATTGCTCTTTTGGAATATTAAAAAGATGGTACTCGGCAAGGGACTCACTCCAACAGCCCCTGGTTATTCCTCCTGACTACTGGGAATGCCCATGTTATATGTATCTCATCAAAGAAATGACCATTCATAGCTCATCACATTCCGCCATACAGCGCACATACGTAGTGACGTCAGATGACGTGCCCTATCCCGCGCACATTTAACAAAAATTACGTCTTTGGGAGAAACAGGAACATGGTATCTGACAGCAAATGGCTGACAGAAGAGGTAATCACTCATAACTCCAGGCAAATGGCTGACAGAAGAGGGAATCACTCCCAATTCTGGGCAAATGGCTAACAGAAGAGGGAATCACTCCCAATTCTGGGCAAATGGTTAACAGAAGAGGAAATCACTCCCAACTCGAGGAAATTGCTAACAGAGGAGAGAATCACCCCCAATTCTGGGCAAATGGTTAACAGTAGAGGGAATCACTCCCAACTCCAGGCAAATGGCTGACAGAAGAGGGAATCACTCCCAATTCTGGGCAAATGGCTAACAGAAGAGGGAATCACTCCCAATTCTGGGCAAATGGTTAACAGAAGAGGAAATCACTCCCAAC